AATTAGTTTGATTGTTTGAGTACTCTTTTTTCTTAACTCTTTTTATTCATTGAAATGATTATAATGCTTAATGATTATTATAAAAAATGTTAAAGAGTTATCCTGACACGCGGTAAAAAGATCTTGAAACGGTTAAAATTAGAATTACCTATCATGACACTTATAAGTGCTTATACCGTTTATTAAATCCAATGTGAAAATAGTATATACCACACATTAAAGCAATGTCTTTATTAGTTTAATGTTAAAATAGCCTATTTAAAAAGATAATAAAAAGTACCTTTTTAGGACCTTTTTTCATGTAGTGAGATTTACTTTAACAATTGTATGAAAAGAACTGCATATTCATTTATCGTAAAAAAAAACAAGAAAGAATAAATTTACGTTTATTAAGTAAATATAGCATGGAATTCGATGAATTAATTGTTACATTCTACTAAAAAACTTTATTAAGTAAATATATAAAAGCCTCAATGCAAATTGATTTCAAATTTAATTTTAGTTCGTCCCACGTGCACATCGCGTGCTCTTTTCCCGTATCAACTCCAAACGCCTTCTGGCCAAAACGATACGAATGTTGTGTGACGTTACTCCGCACTACAAATCACAATGATTTTTCTTAATCGCACCATTTTAGTTGGTCATTTCAGAAGCCGCATATGTTTATTTACAAACAAAACAATCCACCAACCCCATTCTTCCATCAAATTTTGATGTTGTCACGGCCTAACACATCCTCATCCTTAGCATGCCTCCTAACAAGGGGCTTAAATTTTACATACTCTGCCAAGGGTTTGTTTAATCTTGTTCATCATTTACATTATTAAATAATTTATGTGTATAACTTCAAATCTTTGATCATTTGGGTTGGGTTCTTATTTATCATCACCTTGCTAGATACATTTCTCCATCGCAGATCTAGTCCTGATGCATCCAACTTTGAAGAATTTCATATTAAATATCCGATAATTTCTATTTTGATTTGGTGAGACAGAGAGGGGGAGAGAGAGAAATGAAGAGGCGGTAAGTATGGACTGATGAAGAAGAAAACTGGTGAAGACTTAAATGAAGTAGAAGAAGAAGACTGGAGACTTAGTTTAGACTAAATTTTACAAATGGTCCTTTTTATTTTTTATTATTGTAATATACCTTGATTTAGACGTGCTAGGTTTTTTTTTTAAAACAAAAAAGGAAGGTTAGGACGATATAAAGTCGCCTAAAATCTGATAAAGTTATTTTTTCCTCAGATAAGGCGTACCTATCTGATCTAGTCTTAAAAGAATTTTAGCAACTCTTGGATGTTCATGGAAGCAATTAAATATCCCCGAGGTGCCAGCTGATGCCACTCTAGCCAGATTGTCTGCCACAACATTTGTTTCTCGGTAAACTTGAAGTATAGTATATCCTCTCCGTTGCATAATTTCCAGAATAGCTGTAAGCTGAAAAAAGTATTACCATAGTAAAGCTTCTTTTTTAGCCAGCATATTAGCTAACAAAAAATTATCAGTTTCGACCTCAACCAAAGAAAGATTCAAACTGTCACACTTCCGTACTCCAAAATATATCCCCATTATCTCTGCCATCAAACTATTACCCTCACCAAAGTAACCAGATTCTCCATAAACAAAGCACCCTTCTTCATCCCAGATCAAGAAACCACATCCAACTTCCAATATATTAACAGAGGAACCATCAATATTAAGTACAAAACCACGACTTCTCGGTTTCTTCCAACTAACCACTTTACATTCTTTCCGTTTCATTTTAAATTTAACAGAAGGAAAAATATTTTCTATGAACATTCTCTCTGCACCATTTTTCACTAAAAGAGCATGCACAATCATCATATTCTCCACATGTGTAATCACAGCCTTAATAATTTGTTGGTTACTTACCCGAACATTGTTATGTGAAGTCTCATTCCATGCTTTCCAAAGTTCCCAAAGAATGAAAATTGGAAGAACCTTCCTCAAAGCTCCTTTAGCCGAAGAATATGTAGCCATATATTGACCACCAATTTTGAAGATAAGCGCACATATTCCCAGTTGGAATATCCGGTACTCCACACAATCTCGCAAAGTAATCCCAAATTCCTTTTGATGCTGAACATCCAAGAAAATAATGATATATTGACTCTGATTGATGCCTACACCTTATACAAATGGAAGGAGAAAAAATGAAGCTGAAGGCATTTAAAATTACTGGAAAAGGAATCAAACCATTGCTCAACTTCCAAATGAAGAAAGAAATCCTTAAAGGAACAAACTTATGCCAAATGTTCTGAAAAATTGCATCCTTTTGCCCCTTCTTTCTCACCGGCTCGTATGCAGACTTGATAGTAAAAACCCCCAGAGGAGTCGGTTTCCAACCAACAAGATCCTCCCCCTGTGGTAAAAGACACTTCGCGCGCTGCCAGCATTTCAAACTTTTGCGCCGGAATCTTAGACTGAAAAGCATGCAGATATTCTGTCTTATGATAAAAAAAACTCATGAATTTTGAGACTTGGATTAGGCGGAGCTTCCATTTCCAGCTCCCAAATAGCTCCGCAATCAGTCTAGTTATCAAACCAGAAGTTTTGACCTCCATTTCGCACAATCGTTTTTGAATTGGTAACAGCCAGCAATCGGATTTTAGCAATTCGATTCAATGAAGTTTTCTTTTTGGCCCTCCTCGATAAAGAAAGGATAAATCTCGCCCAAAGACCTTCCTGTTTAGTAACTTTCCACCAAAGCTTCAAAGAGAACGCCTTTATCACATCCTTAAAGCTTCGCAGGTTGACACCATTTTTAAGAGTTGGATAAGTAATCCTATCCTAAGCCCTCCAATGTCGTCGTACAACCTCATCCGTTCCTTGCCAAAGAAATTTCTGACACTTTTTTTCCACTGCATATCAATAGATTGTGGGAGATCCATGGCTGCAAAAGTATGAATCGGCAACGCTGATAATACATGCTTGACGAGCAATAAACGGCCCCCTAAGCTTAACATTTTGTTCTTCCAGTTTGCAAGCTTGGAATCCATCGCTTCAGGAAGATATTGGAAAGTATCCACCTTCTTTCTTTATACCTCGAGAAGCTTGAAAGAATCCCACAGGACTACCATTCACCAAAATAGAAAACCAGCTGCTCTAGAGATTCGTTAGAATCAGTGAAATAAATGATAGAGGAAAGCCAAATCTGTTTAGTACCTCTCGTAAAAAGCTCCATGAAACCCGGTCAAATGCCTTCATCATGTCCACCTTAATAATTAGATTATCTCCTTCGGTTTTGTGTTTCACAAAATGGCAAAAAAGTTGAGCCAGCAACACATTATCCGCAATGTCCCTTCCGACTAAAATGGCCGATTGTTCCTTGGAGATTATTTTTGGAAGAATTCGCTTCAACCTTTCAGTAAGTATTTTCGTAAAGATCTTATTTATAAAAGTACACAAACTGATTGGTCTCAAATCTGAGAGTGTGTTGATGGATGATTTCTTCGGAATCAGAGCTACCAAAGTGCTACCAATTGCCCTAGGCAAAGGAACACCCAACATAAATTCTTCACATGCTTCTTTCAAGTCCGCGGCTATGATTCCCCAACATTTCTGATAAAAAATGCCACCAAAACCGTCGGCACCCGGAGCACTTTCCGCATCCAAACCATCGACCGCTTCTCTAATTTCTTCTTAACAAACCGGTATTTGCAATTAATAACAAGCATTTTCATCAAGAAGCGAGGGTATGTGTTGCAGAAACTCTTGTTGCACCTCTACTTGATCTTCGCGACTCTCCTCAGTCAAAAGATTTTTAAAAAAATCAACAGCATGCTCTTCAATCTTTGCTCAGTCATGAATCCAAAACCCTTCTTCAGATTGAATTTTGCGAATGCCAAGTTTAGCTCTTCTTTCTGTCAAAGAAGCATGAAAGAAAGATGTGTTTGAATCTCCTCCTTCTTTAAGCCATTTAAGCTTAATTTTTTGCGCCCAAAAGTCGTCATTCTCTTTTAGCCGAGCCAGCAACTTAGCCCTAGCAAAGCTTAAATTGTTTCGATCTTCCTCCAACTTCGAAGAGTAATATTGAAGCTCTAAACGGCGCACTTCTTCTTCTGCAAGCTTCAAATTTTCAAAAAGATTGCCAAATATCTCTTTGTTCCATTCCTTCAGCTTGGACTTAAGTCTTCTGAGTTTCATTGAGAATCGAAGCATACCATAAGTCTCCATTGGCAAATTCCAATTTTCTTCTACAACAGTAAAAAATTCTGGTTTTCGTAGCCACATGGTCTGAAACCGAAAGCATTAAGGTCTTTTTTCTTCATTATGATCAAACTTATGCAAAAGTGGGCAGTGATCCGAGGTAGTCTTATTTAGATTTTCAATCGATGCAACTGGAAAAAGATTTATCCACTCTGACGAAAAAAGAATTCTATCTAGTTTCTTGCTGACCCAACCGGTACAACGCATTCCTCCCCATGTAAATTCTTCGCCAGAAGTATTAAGTTCCATCAAGTCACACGCCTCTATACATTCATTCAAATCATCTATTGCCGCATGATCTTGCACAGAAATTCCAGAATATTCATCAAGAGACTTGAAATCACCTCCCACCATCCAAGGAGACACTGAGAATTGACTTCGAAACATGACCATATCTGACCATAATTGCTGCCTACCATTTCGAGTCAACTTAGCGTAAACCTCAGAGACATAGAATTTACTTCCAATCGATGTATGGCTCACTTCCAAGCTTAAGATCTGATCAGACTCGCCCACAACAGAAAAGGTGAAAGCATTATTGCATAAAATCCAAATCTTTCCGTTGGAAGATGAAACTGCTTGATCAAATCCAAGCAGCAATTTCGTTTCATTCAGTTTATGAGTTGGAACCATTGGCTCGAAAAGAATCAGAAAAGTAACACGATGCAGCCGAATTAAAGATTTCAGACGTCGTTGTGACGCGTACTTATTAATACCTCTTACATTCCATATAATTTGTGCAATCTTTGGAAAACAGGTTGAGAAGGTTTACTGGAACCGAGCTGATGTTCTTTGCACTTGGCCGATCAGCATTTTCATTTTCTCAGCTTTCGTTTTTCGTCCCTTCTTCTTCTTTACAACTGTAAATCGTTCAGAGTCATGTAATTCAGCTTCCTCTTTTTCTCCTTTAGACCAGTGGCTTCGAAAATTCCCATCCTCATCATCCGATTCCGAACTGATACCAATGTAGTAATCATCCGCCAATGTAAGACCCTTCGGAATATCAGTCTCTTCAGTATTATCAGGGATCACAAATTCAAAGAAAATTTCCTCTGCTTCATCTTCTGAACTATCCAGTTGCAATCCCTGATCATGAGATTTTTCATTTGCCGCAGTTGTCTCTTTCTGTAAAGAAGCTTCAGAGTGACGTTCGCAGAGATCAATCGTTTCAGAGTGGTCGTCATCAACTACCACGTCCACTTTTTTTTCCTTGATGCGATACCTCTTTTGGAGGCTGCCCATCAACATCAATCGGGATTAAGGCCTTTTCAGTGGATGTGAGGAGACCAGATGTAGATTCATTCATCTTATCATTAGCTGAGCCTGAATCAGTCGCCGGCTTAGGTTTCCATTTAGGAATGGGTTTTGGAATGACAAACTTGACTTTTGGATTTCTCTTTACTTCCTGTTGCACATACTTACCTTTCTCCTTTGTAACCTCCTGTATCACTTCCTTCCCCTTCTGTTGTTTTTTAGAGTCGCCGACCATAGTCTGCATTGATTTTCCTTTCCGACATTCCGTGTCCTTATGCCCAATCTGGTTACCTTTAACACAATAAGAAGGAACATACTCATAGGTGAAGGCTTATTCATGCTTTTTACCTTTTTTCCCAACCCTAATTGTTCGTGGTAACTCCTTCGTCAAATCTGCTTCAACACAAAACCGCGTGACGGATGGTCGAATAAGGTTTAGTATTGGAGTATCGACCTGAAAAGGCTTCCCTATTGCAGATGCCATCGAGTAAAGGACTCTAGGGTTTGTCCACTCCAGTGGAAGCTCATGCAGCGAGACCCAAATAGGAACAATTGGAGGGTCTTCCTCAAATTTGAAACCGGGCATCCACTTAAGGATCCGCATTGCATTGCCAGCAACATTCTAGACCGAGGTAATCCAGCAACATTGATAATCTTCTTCCAGTTCAAAGGGTATCAAAATATGGCAAGGATTCATGGCTAGGTTAAATATTATTATCTGCTGTCAAATTGGAGTTACGTAACTTAATCTTGATTGATTAAAATATGAGAACGTTGGAGCAATTATAAGTCTTAAAATGTAAACAGAAAACCTCAAGCGCTAAGACAAAGAAAGTAGTTTTTACGTAGGTGTACTTGATTAGAATGTTCAACTTGGATTTATAAAAAAAAAACAAGGAAGAAGAACGCTCATAAATTAAGTAGCTAACAGTCCATTTACCGTTAATCTATTAACTAGCAACCTATGTGGGCTACCAAATGAAATTATATGCGATGTAGTCACCTTGTGCACTCTACTTGCTGTGGAGATATTTCGGTTCACCCTCGGCCTCAGGAGTAAGCTTGGAAGCCAAGTTTCTAAACTAGTACAAACGTGGAAATAATGTTCCCCAAAACTTCTATATCCTAGGATCCGAATAAATAGGTATTTAAATCTAATTGTGATACACGCTAAGTAGCTTTATATTGAACTCATTTTTCTATATCAGCGTAGTATATGTTCATGCTCGCCAAATAAATGAACATGATAAGTCCCACTTACATAAACAAATAAAAATAAAATAATCCTTCCATTGCAATGTATAATCGGTAGCTTAACAAATTCTGCACCACCTTAAATATTTTTATTTAGGTTGGTAGCAAGTATAAAAGATGGAGCTAACCGCCATAAATCTATGTCACTTTTGAAAGCTAGAATCCAAAGCCTTTAGCATTAGTAATCTAGTATTATAAAGAGATAAAAAAAAAAGGGGGAGAAGAGATAGCAAGGAACGGGACAAAGGAGTGAGTTAGGTCAGTTCCACAATGATGTCAATTAATCAAAATCAATATTAACATTAGTTTGGGATCAAATGATTCACCTGCACGGGTGGTGCAATATTTGGGGATCAAGTTGTCACAAGTTTTCTTTATTCCCTATTATCACTTTACACTTCTTGAAAGCAAATGACACTTAGAACACGTGTCAATTTCACAAAAAAAATTTTCGTGCCAAAACGAAAAAAGTAAATCTTTTGCAAAAGTATAATGTCACGTGTCCTGTGTTCATCCGGAAAAAAAAAACAATCTTCCACAATTGTGGAAATATAAATGATCACGTTAAACACTCCCCAATTTAAGGAATTTATATTTTGCAAACATAAATGTTCACGTTAAATACTCTTCAATTTAAGAGTTTCACTCACGAAATAGAGTAATACTCCGTAACAAAATCTGGAGTAAAAGTCTCTTTAAATGAATAGCTTTAGCTTCCGCACCACAATATCTTCTGGATCACAATAAAACCCAGTAAAATCAAAATTCAAAACTCTCATTTTGACCTTCCTACACTTCATTTAAATTCCATAATTTTCTCTCTATTTTTCACGATCCGACCGCCTACTCGGCATTCCAGCGCAACCTGTGCCGCCTTGAGTTTCCTCCAGGCCGCTTCTCTCATCTTTGGTCGGCATAGAAATCCCTTTGAAGGAGGCAAGCGATATTGTCGGATCTGGAGTCGACCGCTTTTATAACCTCCAGCTTTCGACCCCAATATTAATCTTCTCTGACGAAGACATTCGGCTTGATTCGGGCATTATGGTAAGATCTCCGTCATTTTTTGCATAGATATTATTATTATCAATTGGAATATTGCCATCATGATGTTGAAACGAGTGTGAATTATTGGCCGCTGAATAAAATCCCCTTTGAATACAAAAATATTGCACAATCGGTGGACGAAGGCCTGGAGGATGACGGATTGAGGTAGAAAGCGGCGGTTGATATAAAAAGGTAAGGGCAATTTGTGATTAGGATTTCTGTTTGGGTTCTATTCAACTGGCACAAATTTGGGATATGCCTCTGCTTCACAGTGCCATAGCATCGGAAAACAGTGGCCTACCAGGAGGGTGAATGGGGTTTTCCTTGGGAAAAGCAAAAACGTCAAGGTGCGGTATGTCGATTATGGATTAATGATTTAATTTGTTAGGCTGCTGAGTAGATGCCTCTAATTATTTTCATTGCAAGGCATAACTTTTTTTTTCCAGATTATGATCAACAAGGTTAAAATTCAAGGGTGCAATTGATTGTTGGAATATATATGGACTGTTTTGTTTGTAGTTTAGGTGTTTGCTTTTATGCCTTACGAGTTTTTATAGGGAGTTTTTATTAGAAGATCAGGGGCATACCACCGTTGAAACTCAAGTTGTATCACTAATTATACATCGTGATTTCGAATAGAGACTAAAATTTAATTTTTCTGTAACTTTAGCTTTAATTCTTTGAAATAGAACCTTAGTTTTTATTTGCATTCAACCTTTTAGATTCTTATTAAAGTAAAAGGTACCTTTGGCTTTGTTCTCAGAAATTTGTCAAATTGTGCGTACATATGATCTTTGGGTTGGAGATGTGTATTTTAGGAGCTCATCAAAAACTCCGTACACATCATAATTTCCTGTGTTCGTCACCTTATTGTGACAGATGAAAAGTTTGGCGGCCTACTCTTCTTCTCCCATTTATAAGGTTGATCGTTTACTCTCATTCAAGTAGTGGTGATAGTGGCGGTTAATGCTAACTGTTTGATTGTTAGAATAAAGATTTCAGAGCTACTGTGAATTTGTTCCGATAGGTTGTAATTTTGAATATCTTTTACTCATTTTCATGGTTTGGATTCTTTTTGTTTTCATTTGGCCATTTATTTTAACATTTGCTAGCTGTTCAAGTCCAACTAATGGAATATTTGCATTATTCTATGTTATTTTCCTTTTAAGTAGGTTGATGATGTGACTGCAGATTTCACCATTAGCCAGTTATTGTATCTTGATGTTAAAGACCAGAAAAAAGATGTTAGATTGTTCATCAATTCCCCTGGTGGCTCTGTTACTGGTTGTACATTGATATTCTCATATTATTGACAACCCTTATTATATTATTAATCTTTGAAGTTTTAGAACTGGCACTTCCATGGTTAGGGTTCCTTTAGATTCCCAGACACGGACTAATCTTTGCGTTGCAATGAACTGATGTATAGGTATGGTAATATATGATGCAATGGCGCTCTAAAGCTACTTTGCAAGTAGTTGGAGCTACTGTATGCTGACATGTCTTAGTTTTGATCTATGCTGATTGCTTAATCTATTTCTTATTTAGGCAACAGAGATGAGTACAATGATCAGGGAAATGTCCCATGCCACAAGATTAAACTGAACATAATTGTTTACAAGAGTTCAATTATGTTCTTTTTCAACTTTTTAATGTTAGAATGTTAGATTTTATCACGATAATTGAGCAGTGTTGTTTAGCTTTAGTACATCTTAATGTCAAAAACTAATATTTACTTTATAATATTTTGACAACTGTAAATTTAGCCTTGCGGGATTTGCTCGGCGGAAGAATCAATTTCTCATACGAGTAAGTTCTAATGACCAGTTCGGACAACTACATATCCTTAATATTATTTTTATTATTATTGTTTTTCATAAGTAGATATTATTTTTTTTCAACCTGACTTAAAACACGGGCGTTTCGGACTTTTGCCCGGGACAAGCATCTAGTTTAATCTTTATTAGGAAATGTTAAGAAGTAAGCTTTTCAAATGAAAATCAATGGACGTTTACTCTAGATCAAGGAAGAAGGAAAATTATTCAGTACTCAAAAAAAAAAATGTCATACGAACCAGGATGAACTTAGTGATTAAACTAATAAATTAAACAAACATCGAAACCACATTTGGTGCTCATCCCCCACCACATTTGGTGCTCATCCCCCACCGCTTTGAATTTTGTTCCTGTTCAAGCTTAGGTACAAAGGTACCCTGCCCGAGTTTCTTTTGTCCTTAACACCACCGTCTGATTTAATTAGTTTACTATCTAGCTTAAGAATGAAGCCTAGTAAGTAAATAATTCGCCCCACCGATTCTTTTACTTGGCTATAAGTTTATGAACTAAAGCTTCCTTTTCAATTTTCCTTCGTCTCCTTGGCATCAGCTTCAACGCCCCTATATCGACTTCATCATTTTTTTTTTATAATTTGGATCAAGATCTCCATCTCACCACCGCCGCACCTCTTCTTTTTCCTTATTCAAGCTTAATACAAAAGACTTTAATACAAAAGACTCATGTATAGACTTAGAGAATGGAATGGCTTCAATTGAGCAAATTGGTCCCTAGTATTACATGACTTAAATAGAAGAACCTAAACTAGGATAACAACACATGAGATAATATCAAATATAAGATAATCCTAACTACATAATATCAAAATAATATCAAATATAAGATAATCCTAACTACATAATATCACAACTAACTAGATAATTATCATACATCGACACGCCCCTAAAACTGATGGCAAAAAAGGTAGTAGTCTCAGTTTACCCAAGAATCGGATGAACCACAATGCAACATCACCAGCAAGCGAACAGAAGCAGTTGGGCAACAGCAACATAAGAAGAGGATTGACGGCGGCACAAGAAAGACAAGCAGCACGAACGGAGGGAGGCTGACGGCGGCGCAAGAATGGCCGAAAGATAATTGATGGGGGTGCATTCTCGACCCGGATGATGAGTTGTAGAAGAGAGGATGTTGTATGCCTAATCTGAACGTAGCAAAGTCTGATCTAATAGAAGAACAGACGGCATGAAAAAGAAAAAGAGTAAAGATATATTACGTGTTCACAAGGGTGGTGTTATGATTTGTGTTTTATTGGTTACTTGCAAAAGGAAAGGACTCAATCGAAAAAGGCAAGAGTCGGAGGAACTACTTGCACAAAATGTAAGTTATTAGGACTGATTTATACAAATCAGAGAAAAAAAGATAGGACTATTTCAAAAATAGAAAAAAAATTTTGGGAACGAATTGGAAATTTTACAAAGTTGAGGGAGTAAAAGTGAAGAAAACTGATAATTAGCCAAAATATGGATGATGGCGCGTGAAGATGATGATAGACGAGGATGATGAGGTGAAGAAGTGGAGAAAGAACGAGGGCTGGGTTTTTGTTTTTTTCCCCTAAGGGATTTGTAGAGTTTTTCTGTTTTTTTGACGATGATGATGGGGATGGATGTCTGTGTTTGTGGAAGACATGCCGAAGAAGAAAAGAGGGAGAAGGTAGATTGTATACCATTTTACGACGATGAAAAAGATGGTTATTTGTATGACCGAAAAGAAGATCGGCGGCAAGAGAAGAGTGGGGGAAGAGGGAGAAGACCGGCGGCGGCAAGAGAAGAGTGTGTACCTGGCTCGATACCAGTTTAGAGAATAGAATGGGTTCAATTGAGCAATTAATCACTGGACTATAACATGACTTAAATAGAAGAATCTAAACTAGGATAACAACACATGAGATAATATCAAATATAAGATAATCCTGACTACATAATATCACAACTAACTAGATAATCACATTGACATCTAGCTTCCATTCTACTCCTACTATTGCAATAGGTTTTCTCAATATTTAAATTCTTATCACCTAGGACTCCAGATTTTTGTATTTGAACTTTCTAAGGACTCAAGGTTATTAGTCTGCCTCTTACGACACTGAAACCAACTTTTGCAACAGTCTACCTCATATATAAGTATTTGTTCGACAACAGAACCAAGGAAAATAGCGGAACTCTGGCCAGCCGTTTACCATGTTGAAGCAGCGGATTTGCTAGGGTAATTAAGAAGCATCGACTTCTGAATAAAACAAGTATGCAAGGAGTCGTTTGCAGCCGGTCTATCATTCTCCATCTGAAGAAAAAGAAACAGTAAGGGTATCTATTCTTGAAGGGAGTTAGTTTCTAGGATTGGTGTTTTAAGTTTAAATCTTTTAGGGATCATGCAAGGACTAAGTAGTTGACTTGGTAATTTACTACGGTTCTTAGTAGTTACTAGATAGTGGTTCTGCCGTAGTGTAATTTGATGTCAAATTGATGGTGATTAGCCTTTAGATAGCGTTATCTTTAAGTGAGTAGTCGTAAATAATAGTGGACAACTTTAGTACTTGTTAGTTAATCGTTCTAAAGGTTTACTTTAGATTTAACCAAACAAATCAAATCTATCACTATATTAAGCATCATAAAGCAAATATGTTCCCTTGAACAATGGGATTACGGCTCCCTTAAAAGTGAGATTCAATCTAGCTAATTGAGATAGACTAATGTGTGAGAGTAAATGAGTTAAAAGGAATGAAGAATGAAGCATCTTAGGAGAATGTGATACGTTAAACCATAAATTTTCTAAGTTGAATATGTGATGACCGTTCGATAATTTCGGAATGTTAATTGCAGAAAACGGGCACCTAGTGCCAACTCGTAGCACAATATAGGTGAGTGATTCTCACTTTTTAAAAACTGGAAGTATGAGAATATATATTTAAAGGTTACTACACACACAAGAACATTTTTTAAATGTTATTGAAGTATTAAATGCCTATCATTGAGTGACCCGAAGGTGTACTTTATCGCCTCGAGATATATGTTCTTGGTGTTATCTTATCTCAGATAAATGATATCGTGATATGATTGAATGTTATTGTTGATTGGTTACCGGATTGAGTGTGATCGTTGAATGTGTTGCTTTTGGTGGTGTACTTTATCACCTCAGGACAACTATCGTTATCATTGTATTGATTGATTGTTACGCAATAATGTGCGATTGTAGCTTCATTAGACTCTGTTCACTTGGAGCCTAGGCCCTGTCTTTGTTAGGTGAATCCTTGCGGGCCGGCATCAGACTTGGTCGCCGGGTTCGCTTACCTAGGCTATTGTTGTCCAGATGGACTCAGTACTCATGAGTATCCATTGGTGGCCACGAGGTGTTGAGGAGAATCGATATTGACATTAGATCGTTATCGTTATCATATTATTGAAATCTGGCTCGGAACTTGTCTCTGTGGGATATAGGCTTTTTGGCAGCCCTTACTAAAGTTTTCCGTATTCACCTCATTGTTAAATGTTTAATATGAAATAGTTGAATGTTGAATGATTATTGGCATATTCTACTTTTGAATATTTTTTTATGAAAATAATTTTATTGAAAGAATATCGTAATAATATAGTGTGAACCTCACTGAGCTCGATGATCATTGATGAGTCTAACATTTACATCTATTTTTATATAATTTCCCTTAAAGACTTGGTTACATTTTTATATGTTTTGAGGATCAATTTACTTAATTACTCTATGTTTGCAGGATTGAAAGAATTGGAAGTAATTGGAGTTAATTTGGACTAAATTGAAGAAGAAAATGTAAAGCTAGGGACAAAGGTGAAGAGACAAAGAAGTTGGAAGAAGAAAAGCAATGACCCTTAAAAGTGAAGGATTAAAAGCTCAATTTTGGAGACTTAATTTTTCTTCTGGCCGTGAAAAGAAAGAAAACAAGAAAATAAGATTATTAGTGGCCCAAACAAATAAAGAAATGCAGCCCTATCTCTCTTTATAAAAAGAAACGCATGCAAAAGTGAGGAGGAGTTCGGCTGGGAGCAGACTTGGAGAGTTCGTAGCTTTTTGGCGACGCACGCACGCACGAAGGGGCAGCAGCCCCTTGCTGCTCTCTCAAAACCGGACTCATCGTTTGTTTATTTTAATTATGCTTTGCGAGTAGTTTATGATGATGATTCCCACGGTGGGTTCATTTGGTTTATCAAATGGTTTCCATGTAGCAATTTGTTTGATTGTTGGAATTTTTTTTTTTTTTATTGGTTATCTGTTTTTCTTCATTGAAAGGAATATAACTATAATTGATTAGAATGATTATAATAAAATGTTAAACACTTATCCGAACACGCAGTAAAAGGGTCGTTAAATTGTTAAATATAGAATTACCTATTATGGCACTTATAAGTGCTTATACTGTTTATTAAAACCAATGTGATAGGGCAGCGAATATACTAAACCCTATATCAAATAAAAATTGGATTTTAAAATAAAGTTGAATCCTTGTTCAATTTAGCAGAGCGACGAACTTGAACGCTCTTTTTAGCCTTGGCTTTTTTCGATCGATTGTGATACGTTGGAGCAGAAACTTCACTGTAAAAAGACTCTTGTTCCTTTGCATATTCCATATCAAAGTCGTCATCTTCAGAAGCATGATTTAGTCCACCTTCAGAATTTATTTCTTCAATCGAATAATTTGGAATAAAAGTCTCAGTGTTCTTCTCGATTTTAGTATCATCCTTGGAAAAGTACGATTTTGCAACCGTAATGGGCAGTAAAACTTGTAAAAGAGGCTGAGGAGAGATGGTAAATTCTGAGGCTTCAGGATTTAACTTTTTAATGGGGCTGTTAAAAGAGTTATTTGAGGAAGAGATACCTTCCTTATTTGAGAGAGAAGAGCCGGATACAGAAGAGTTATTTGATGTTGACTTTTCCTCACTTGAGTTTTGAAGAGTCTTATGCACAATTGGCGCTGAGATCACGGGAGTCTGCTCACCTTGTTCCTCACTTGAACAAGGAAAAGATGGAGTCAGTTCCGGATTCAAACCTGGACGACCTTGGAGATTTGAAATTGAATCAGTTTGGCTGGAGATTCCACACATCTTGGGCGTGGACTGCGCATCAACGGGATTCTGTTCCAAGGGCGTAATATTCGAGAGTTTGCCGGCTGTCATCGGAGATTCTCGCCGCCGTTCCACCTTTGACGATGTAGCAGCCATCGAAGAAGACCGAATCGATATGGATTTTTCAGTTCCAATCATCAGATTATCAGCAACAATAGAAACCAGTTGAGCAGCAGCAGCGGCGGCACCAAAAGTTTCGGTCGCGGCGTTGAGTTGAGTCGAAGTTTCAACGGCCTGATGCACCCCAAGCGAATCTTCAGCGCCTTCCTGGGCTGTAGAGACTTGTTGAGCGTCGTTGATTTGTTGAACATTCACTTCATTGATTCGCTCTGAGATCGGCGGTAAGAATTGAGGGGAAGATGATTTTTCTCCTGTAATCAGTGGAGAAGCAACAACATTGGCGGTTCGCTGTTCAGGAATAGCATCGCTAGTTTCTTGTTCGGCGGTGATGGTTGTTGATCATCCAACAGCAGCATAACAGGGGGATCCTCTGGTTGGATCGCTGATTCCACTGGCCCATTTTGTTTATGCGCAAAAGTCTCTACTTTCGTAGGTTCACCTTGCGGAGTCGCAGCCGACTTATGTGCGACTTTCAATGGATTGTTTGTTTCCTACGTGTTCTTTTGCTTGGCTTGGGATGATTGCTGTAACTGCTGTTTCGGATGATGCAAATCAATCTTTTGTGATGATGGTGAAATTGTGTTGTGTCGGCAGGAATGGAAATCATGTCCAATTGTTTTACAATCGACACAATATTGAGGCATGTTCTCATAAAAAATTGATTGAAAATAGGTCGATCCTTCAACGCCCAGTCTGATGCGAATTGGATGCTCCTTGAGAAGATCCAGTTCCACACAAACTCGCGCTACTGATGGTCGTGACATGTTAAGAGTTGGAACGTCGATTTGAAGGGGGGTTCCGATAATGCTAGCAAGTTTCCACAAATATTCTTTGTTGAAACGATGAATTGGGAGACCTTCTTGGGAGATCCAAACAGGGACGATTGAGCTTTCGTGCGCTGGATTAAAATCCGTTGTCAACTTTAGGACCCGCATTCGATGTTTGTCAAATGTCCACAAACTTTTGGGCCAGCAACGGTGAAAATCTTCCTCTAGTTCAAAGCGAATGAGGATGTGTCGGTAATCAATTGATCCAAGAGAAAAACTTCCTTTGAAGCCGATAGTCTGGAATTCTCTTCTCATAAATTCCATTTTTGACCGGCCTTTAGTAAACTTTCCTACAAGAGCAAGGCGGAATGGAGCAGCCAATTCAGCATCTTCTTCTTTTGTAAGAAGAAAAGTTGGCCCACCTTTGAAAGTCGTTGGTTCGGAGAGTATCATAGTCGAATGGTGTTTGAGTGAGGGTTCATGTATGGCTTTTGAATTTGCCCCGGATCCTAGAATCTGAGTAAAGGAGGCCTTTTGGATGTGCTTGATAGGTGGTGGTCGGCCTATGGCCAGTGGCGGTTCGCCGGCCATAGGAGAAAAAAGCTAGAAGGAAATCACTCCCGCTTAGAGAGGATTCCGGCGAGTTTGATGAGTTCAATATTTCACCATTCCCAAACAATCCCTTTTTTAGGACCTTTTTCATTTAGTGAGATTTGCTTTAACAAATGTATGAAAAAAGTTGCATATTCCTTTATCGTTAAAAAAAAAAGAAAAGAAGAAAGAATAGTTGTATGCTTTATCTTTAGCCTGGAGATTCGATGAATTAATTGTAACATTCTACAAAAAAAGCTTTATTAAGTAAATGTATAAAATCCTCAATGCAAATTGACTTCAAATATAATTTTGGTTCATGCCACGTGCACATCGAGTACTCTTTTCCGATACAAACTCCAAACACATTCTGACCAAAACGATACGAATATCGTGTGACGTTACTCCTTACCGCAAATCACAAAGATTTTTCTTAATTTCACTATTGTAGTTGGTCATTTCCAAATCTACCATTTCATCCCAACAAATTTATATCTACCACCCCATTCTTTCTTCATATGTTTATTTAGAAACAAAAGAATCCACAAACCCCATTCTTCCATCAAATTTTGATGTTATCACGGCCTAACGTATCCTCATCCTTACCATGCCTCCAAACAAGGGGATTTAATTTTGCATACTCTGCCTGGGGTTTGTTTAATCTTGTCCAGCATTTACATTGTTAAATAGTTTCTGTGTATAATTTTCAAATCATTGATAATTTGGGTTGGGTTCTTGTTTATCATCACCTTGCTAGATACATTTCTCCATTACAAATCCCTTGTTGATTCTTCCAGCCATTAAGAATTTCTTATTAAATATCCAATAACTTTTGTTTTCGATAGACAAGACTGACATAGAGGAAAATGAAGAGGTTGTCAGTGTGGACTGATGAAGAAGAAAACCGGTAAAGAGTTAAATGAAGAAGAAGAAAACTGTAGACTTGTAAGTGTAGACTAAATTTTACAAATGACCTTTTTATTTTCTTTGTTATGAATTAACAGTTGAACTAAGAGCTTGTTTGTATTATTTTATCAATAAATAAGATAAGGTTATAATCTACTAAAACTAATAGGTAATTATGGTGAGAAACAAAGAAGCAAAGACTTGACCTCATCATAGAAACCAAGGAAAGAAAAAGTTTGTTCCTGGTGGGACACTCAGTTTGTGTACAATTTTTTCTTAAATCTTTTTCTTCATTAAAATGATTATAATGCTTAATGATTATAATAAAATTTTAAAGACTTATCCTGACATGCAGTAAAAAGGTCGTTAAATGGTAAAAATTAGAATTATCTATCATGGCACTTATAAGTGCTTATATAGTTTATTAATACCAATGTGATAATGGTATATACCACACATTAAAGCAATGTCTTTATTAGTTTAATCTTAAAATAGCCTATTTATAAAGATACTAAAAAGTGCCTTTTTAGGACTTTTTTCATGTAGTGTGATTTGTTTTAACAATTGTATGAAAAAAAAAAGTTGCATATTCCTTTATCGTAAAAAAAAAAAAAGAAGAAGAAGAAGAAAGAATAATTTTACATTTTTTCTTTACCCTGGAGATCGATGAATTAATAGTTACATTCTGCTAAAAAACTTTATTAAGTAAATTCATAAAAGCCTCAATGCAAATTGACTTCAAATTTAATTTTTGTTCTCCGACGTGCACATCGCGTGCTCTTTTCCCGTACCAATTCCAAACAGCTTCTGACCAAAATAATACGAATGTCGTGTGACATTATTTCTCACTGCAAATCACAATGATTTTTCTTAGTTGCACCATTTTAGTTGGTCATTTCCAAATCCACCATTTCATCCCAATAAATTTATATCTACCACCCCATTTTTTCTTCATATGTTTACTTACAAACAAAAGCATCCACCAACCCATTCTTCCATCAAATTTTGATGTTGTCATGGCATAACGCATCATCATCCCTAGCATGCCACCTAACAAGGGACTTAAATTTTTCATACTCTACATGGGGTTTGTTTAATCATTCTCAGAATTTACATTGTTAAATAATTTCTGTGTATAACTTGAAATCATTGATCATTTGGGTTGGGTTCTAGTTTATCATCACCTTGCTAGATATATTTCTCCATTGAAGATCCCTTGTTGATTCTTCTAGCCATGAAGAATTACTTATTAAACATCCAATAACTTTTGTTTTGATGGACAAGACAGATGAAAAAGAAGTAAACTGTAGACTTGTAAGTGTAGAGTAAATTTTACCAATGGTCCTTTTTATTTTCTTTATTATGATTTAACAGTAGAACTAAGAGCTTGTTTTTATTATTTTATCAATAAATAAGATAAGGTTATAATCTATTAAAACTAATAGCTAACTATGGTGAGAAACAAAGAAACAAAGACTCGACCTCATCATAGAAACCATGGAAAGAAGTGTATGTTCCTGGTGGGACACTCAGTTTAAGATGATGATTCCCAAGGTGGGTTCATTTTGTTTATCGAAGGGTTTCAGGGTAGCAATTAGTTTGATTGTTTGTGTAATTTTTTTTCTTAATGCTTTTTCTTCATTGAAATGATTATAATGCTTAATGATTACAATAAAATGTTAGAGACTTATCCTAACATGCAGTAAAAAGGTCGTTAAATGGTAAAATTTAGAATTACCTATCATGGCACTTATACAGTTTATTAGAACCAATGTCATAATGGTATATACCACAAATTAAAGCGATGTCATTATTAGTTTAATGTTAAAATAACCTATTTATAAAGATACTAAAAATTTCCTTTTTAGGACCTTTTTCATTTAGTGAGATTTGCTTTAACAAATGTATGAAAAAAGTTGCATATTCCTTTACCGTGAAAAAAAAAAAGAAGAAAGAATAGTTGTATGGTTTATCTTTAGCCTAGAGATTCGATGAATTAATTGTAACATTCTACAAAAAAAAAAAAACTTATTAAGTAAATATATAAAATCCTCAATGCAAATTGACTTCAAATTTAATTTTGGTTCGTGCCACGTGCACATTGAGTACTCTTTTCCAATACAAACTCCAAACACATTCTAACCAAAATGATATGAATATCGTGTGATGTTACTCCTTACCGCAAATCACAATGATTTTTCTTAATTTCACTATTTTAGTTGGTCATTTACAAAGCTACCATTTCATCCCAATAAATTTACATGTACTACCCCATTTTTCCTTCATATGTTTATTTACAAACAAAAGAATCCACAAACCCATTCTTCAATCAAATTTGGATGTTGTCACAGCCTAACGCATCCTTATCCCAGCATGCCACCTAACAAGGGACATAAATTTTTCATACTCTGCATGGGGTTTGTTTAATCTTGCTATGCATTTACAATGTTAAATAATTTCTGTGTCTAACTTGAAATCTTTGATCATTTGGGTTGAAGAAGAAGAAAACTGTAGACATGTAAGTGCAGATTAAATTTTACAAATGGGCCGTTTTAATTTCTTTATTATGATTTAACAGTTGAACTAAGAGCTTGTTTGTATTATTTTATCAATAAATAAGATAAGGTTATAATCAACTAAAACTAATAGCTAATTATGGTGAGAAACAAAGAAGCAAAGACTCGACCTCATCATAGAAACCAAGTAAAAAAGTTTTTGTTCCTGGTAGGATACTCAGTTTAAGATGATGATTCCCAAGGGGGGTTCATTTTGTTTATCGAAGGGTTTCAAGGTAGCAATTAGTTTGATTGTTTGTGTAAATTTTTTTTCTCATCTCTTTTTCTTAATTGAAATGATTATAATGCTTAATGATTATAGTAAAATGTTAAAGACTTATCCTGACCTGCAGTAAAAAGGTCGATAAATGGTAAAAACATAGAATTACCTATCATGCCACTTATAAGTGCTTATACAGTTTATTAAAACCAATGTGATAATGGTATATAACACATATTAAAGCAACATCTTTATTAGTTTAGTGTTAAAATAGCCTATTTGTAAAGATACTAAAAAGTGCCTTTTTAGGACCTTTCATGTAGTGAGATTTGCTTTAACAATTGTATGGAAAAAAGTTGCATTTTACTTCAACGTAAAAAATAAAGAAGAGGAAAGAAAAGTTTTACATTTTATCTCTAGCATGGAATTCGATGAATTAATTGTTACATTCTAGTAAAAAACTTTATTAAGTAAATATATATAAAAGCTTCAATGCAAATTGACTTCAAATTTAATCTTTGTTCTCCCACGTGCACATCGCGTGCTATTTTCCCGTACCAATTCCAAACACCTTTGGACAAAAACTATACGAATGTCATGTGACATTATTTCTCACTGAGAATCATAATGATTTTTATTGGTTGCATCATTTTAGTTGGTCATTTCCGAATCCACCATTTTATACCAATAAATTTATATCTACCACCCCATTTTTCCTTCATATGTTTATTTACAAACAAAAGAATCCACCAACCCATTCTTCTATCAAATTTTAATGATTTCAAGGCCTAACGCATCCCCATCCCTTGCATGCCACCAAACGAGGGAATTAAATTTTTCACACTCTGCATGGGGTTTGTTTAATCTTGCTAAGCATTTACACTATTCAATAATTTCTATGTATAATTTGAAATCTTTGATCATTTGGGTTAGGTTCTTGTAGATCATCTCCTTGCTAGATACAATCCAATAACTTTTATTTTCGATGGACGAGACAGACATAGAGGAAAACGAACAGGTTGTCAGTGTGGATTGATGAAGAAGAAGAAAACTGTAGACTTGTAAGTGTAGACTAAACTTTAAAAATGGTTCTTTTTTATTTTCTTTATTATGATTTAACAGTTAAACTAGGAGCTTGTTTGTATTTTTTTATCAATAAATAAGATAAGGTTATAATCTAC